TATTTATTTATTTATTTATTGGACTTATATACCGCCCCATAGCGCTATTGGGCAAAACATACAGAAAATACTTTTGTGATCACAGAATCCTGAACATTAGGAATGTAACCATTCATATCTAAATGGAATAAATGTAGTGGTTCACATTTTGTTACTGAAGTGTAAATGGATATTGTTTAAGGCAGTGGTTCTCATGGCCTGCAACTCCCAGTAATGCTGGCCAACACAGTTGGCGGTGAAGGCTTCCAGGAGTTGTAGTCCAAGAACCCCTGGGTTACCTAAGATTGAGAACCACTGGTTTAAGGGTTAGTGCAAGCTCTCTTACACTCCTGGGTTCTTCGACTTTTCTGCATGCTGTCATGCAGATAAAGTAAGCATATTACTTCCTTTAGTAGTTAACAGGTATCTATCCATTGGCAGTTACATCATAAAAATCCATATCCCCACCTGTGGGGTCTTTCTCCATATCTCTTTGCAGGTATATGTAAAATTGGGGAGCGGGTTTTTTACCAGTTTAAATTGACCCTTTGTGTTCCCAGGTCAATAAAGACCTGATGCTGTAGGCAAGCTTTAGCTGAATATCTGCCAAAGTTGTATGTTGTTGTTGTTGTTTCATAACCTACAATCCACCCAGCATCATAGTTTGAATTAATATAGCTATTCTAAAGACTAACACACCCTTCTCCTTTCAGTTTTTATAGCTGAGGAGCTGCCTGTATTTTTTCATAATTTATTGCAATAAGTTAGATCTTTCCGTAAGATTTATTGAAATGTTGTTTCTTGGTGTATAGCCTAACACTGGAATAACTTAAAACCAGATTGTACATCATAAATTAGTTTTCTGACATTTAACCAGACACACAGTGGTCAGATTCAGATGTCTTTCTGACTTGGGCCAATGAACAATCAGTGACTTTCCTCCTTAGTATTAATCTTATTCTGCTGAATGTATAAAAATGGGAAAATATTGGAGGGATTTGCTTTGATTTATTGCAAATGTTAGGTTTTGGCAGGGCTCTCAATATTCTTTGTTTTAAAATCCCCAGCTGAATACTTTTTGTGAATGTTTTAAATAATTGCTGTACCATTTATCATTCTTTTTGGTATATGTGCACAACCATATGTGGCATATGAATGACTGTTCAGCACATCAGATTTACAGTGTCCCTGCTGCAAACCCACTGACCTCAGTGGAGTTTATTCACTGGAATATACACAGGAGATGAATTTGGCCCTGCATTTTAAAGAGGCACAAGAATTACCTTTTCTTATATAAACACATTGTTCATTCTTAAAGATGTGAAGTCCTTCAACACATCGCACTGTTTTTAGAAGCATAGTGATTTCTGTATACATCAGGGAAAGGAAAATGAAGTTGCTGGGGAAGGGAACACATTTAATACTTAAATCTTTTTTCCTCTGACTATAGAAAAATAGATTGTACTTCAGTGGATGAATTGCTGCAGTAAACTAATATAAGAAAAACAGAATTTGGCCTATGGGCCCTTTTCTTTCCTTTAGCCTTCTGCACTGTTAAACTTAATGTTTACTGTGCTTCCAGGAGTTTTTTTTTCCAGAAATTTTTTTCCAGAAATTATGGTTACATTATTATGTTTTTAAGCAGCAACACTTTAAGGTGGAATGAACAAAAAACAGTAAATCATTGAAGACAGTTGATTCTTTTCATTGGTTCAATGAAAGTTTAAGGTTCCAGCTTAACTTACTGTTGTTTGATTTCTTGCAGTTGCCTACAGAATCGCTGTTTTATCGAGCTGTCCTACAAGTTATTGTAGAAGAATTTTATGGAGTCCAAAGAAGGTAGCATGCTCTAATTTTGAATGTCATTAAAGAGGCCTTTGCCTCTTTTTAATTCATGTTGTGGAGGGAAGGCATGTATTGAAAGAGCCACAGTCCTTCAGCATCCTAAGCAGTAATCATATCTCTTTGACTATAGCTCTGTAAATCTGATTTTGTCTCTGCAAACTCTGTAGCAAGCAATTTACCCCTTAAATTATCTTTTAATTAAATTAATTGGTGAAAAGGAGCTAGTGAATTACAATGTCCTGTCTGTACAAAGCTTGCGGAAGTCAGACATTCTTTCTGAAAACAACATGCTTGGAAAGCAGGTAAAGTTAACAAAAGATTGAATAATGGTGCCTACTGTGAGCCATTGCTGATAATTTAAATAAAGCACTTAAACTGTATTAAATACTTAGTACGTAATGTTCTCTTCTTGATTGTGTGAGAGGTCATTATTTTCCCCTAAATCTGTTTTAAATAAATAAATAAATAAAACAAAAAGACTTAGTTTTTCAAGAAATGTGTATATTTCAATGTAATTTCACTATTATAGTTACAGTGGTGCCTCGCATTACGACAATTCGTTCCAGCGAAATCGCTGTAGAACGAAAACGTAATGCGAAAAGAAAAAACCCACTGAAACGCATTAAAACCTTCTTAAATAGTGAATTTTATCTGGGTTTTGTATCTCCCAAAGCAATATAAGACATCCACAGGGTTATAGAATGCAGCGGTGCCTCACTTAACAACAATAATCCATTCCAGGAAAATCGCTGTTAAGCAAAAACATCGTAAAGCGAAATTAAAAAGCCCATTGAAACGCATTGAAAACCGTTCAGTGTGTTCCAATGGGCTAAAAATTCACAGTCCAGCAAAGATCCTTCATAGGGCTGCCATTTTCGCTGCCTGTGGAGCGAGGAATCCATCCCAGAAAACAGCGGGGGGTCATTTTGTTTACCCGGTGGCCATTTTGAAACCGCCGATCAGCTGTTGGAAAATCGTCATTTTGCAAAGAATCGGTTCCCGAAGCAGGGAACCGATCATCGCAAAGCGAAATTCCCCCATAGGAAACATCATTTTGCGATCGCGAAAGCGATCGCCAAAAGTTCATCGTAATGCGGTTTCGTCGTTAAACGGGGCAATCGTAAAGTGAGGCACCATTGTACATTGGTTACTATAGTTACCATTTATGGTGACTTTTATGGACATAGAAAATTGCAATAATAGAGTTGGAGTAAACAAAAATACATTCCATTAGCAATTGACGATTGAAGTAATGCTTTTGAAGTATAAATCTTACTACGACTGTAACTATAAAACAAAAGGCAATAAATAAAATATTGCAGTAGTAGTATTTATGCTACATTTTGTTACTGTGACTTAAAATGCAAAACAAATACAAATAATAATACCATATTAGTAGATAAAATTTCAGTAATACTGATGTCAGCCCTGTGGCCCATTGGTGGTATGTGTGTCGCTTGTGGAGAAAATATGTCCTCTTGCACCATCTCTAGTAGTTTTTTGAAGGGAGCACTTGTAGTACTGGTTGTACAGAATAACACTGAGTTGTCATGCAGGTGCAGGAACATGAGCATGTATGGATGTATTTGACCAGCATTGTTTTTAAGGATTAGATATAGTGCATTATGGTGTGTTTTATACAAAGAAGAGGGTAGACGCAAACCGAGATATGAGTCAAAGGATACATACTGGGGTATTTTTTATACGTTTAGCTATCTGATGGATAATTTTTCCTAAAGTACCCAAGGTAGTGGCTGCAGAGGAGGGATTGAAAAGGAGTGCAAGTGTTGTATCTCTGTGTGCAAAATTGAAAATAATGTATACGTTCTTCTGCGTTGGTGTATGAGTAGATTATCTAGGCTGAGCTCCTGTACGTTGGACACAATGCAAGTTCCTCCTTGAGAGTTTCACAGTGGAAATTTCTATTCAGTAATGACTGCACTGTAGGCATGGTGTTTTCTCTTATCCAGACTTAAGATGGATCGGTTCAGGAGGTATGATGAGCAGCTATGTCATGTTAGTTAGCAGATGAACAAGGAGGCATCTGCACATTCTAGAGGCCTGTAGGAATCCTGTCTGCTTATTAATTGAATCAGGAGTAAGAAACTAGAAATGATGACTTCCCTTAGGTTAGGGGATCTTAAATCTCTGCTTTTCCAGTTTTCCCCAACAAATGGAATTTAGAGGCAACATGCTCTCCTTTTGATTTTAAAAGCAGCAGTGCTGAACTCCTTGCTAACAGGGCCACAGGCTTGTGAGATAAAATGAAAGAAAATGCTGCCATAGCTAAAATAAAGTGGAGGAAAAGAATACTTGAATGCAATACTTATATACTCAAAACAGGTATTGGTGTAGCAATTATCGCAACATTTGAGTAGAGCATGTAGCATTTCCCCCTTTGGTTGTAATTAATTAGAATCTTGAGATAATATAAAACATTAATTTATGATTTTGCCTTGACATTAATGTACATGATTACCGTATTTGCCGGTGTATAAGGTGACTGGGTGTATAAGACCACCCCCCAACATTCCCACTCAGAATGTAGAGTTTGTTATATACTTGCTGTATAAGACTACCCCCTCTTCCGCCTGCGTGATTCTGCTTTGGCTGCATCATAGGGAGAGTTCCTTTTGCCCCTTTTGGTTCCTTTTCGGAGAGATCCAGGGTTTGCTGGAATAAGGAACAGCAGAGAGGCGGCAGCCATTTTGAGAGGCAGCAGCCATGTGGTCGCATCTCAAAATGGCTGCCACCTCTCTGCTGTTCCCCACAGTCAGCTGTTCAGCGCTAGAGTAAGGCTGTGCCCAGGCTAGGAGCTGCTCTCCTCGGTCTTACTACCAGGTAAGTGACTTCGCTGGGAGACAAGGAGGGTTTGCTGGACATGCACCCGGCGTACAAGACGGCCCCCCCCCCACTTGGAGGCATGTTTTTCAGGACCAAAAAGTCATCTTGTACGCCGGCAAATACGGTAATATATACAATAAAGTTATTTGTGGAGTGACAGTATATAAGCTATCAGTACATCAAGAACAAAACATAAATATAATTTTACATTTCAGTGATCATAATATTGGGAAAGTATATTCTAAAACATCTTCCTTCTTGGATTATGTTAGAAAATCTTTAAAAAAGCTTGATCTTGATGAAACAAAGGTAAGTAACTTAATACTCACTATGCAATTCATAATCATATACTGGTTATTGCTATGAATGTTTTACCAGTGATAGTGAAATCAGGAAGTTGATATTGTAATAATAATAATAATGATAATGATAATGATAAACAACTTTCAATTCTGACTTCCAGTGATCCTGTCCAAGATTTTTTAGGTATACAGTTTTCAGAAGTAGTTTGCTATTCCTTTCTTCTGGGAGCACCCTGGGGCTGTGCAACTTGTCTTAGGCTACAAAGGCTGGCTCTTTTTCTGAAGACACAATGGGGAGTTGAACTCTCCATTTGCAGCCATGGGTAACTCACGGAGCTATCCAGCCACTTGATGGTACCTTAAAGATGCTCAAATTTAGACCTACTGTAGATCTTCTAAATGTATAGGATTATTAGAGTCAAATTGTTGCATATTGCATATGTAGCTGGGAGATATTCTTCCACTTTCACAGTATATTAATTTACTGTAATTAGTGAAAGTAAAAAGGTCAGTGATGGCAAGGCTGAAGTATTTGAGGGGGGCTGCTGATTTCTACTTTCTTGGTCCTTTATACCCTCCCAGTCATGTGCATGTACAAATGTGCCTCCCTTCTCGACAGAAAAGAGTCACATTACATAGAACTGCAGTGAGACCAGACCATCCTGCTTCTTTTATGATACCTCAAGTAGCAAGTGAGGGGATGACCAAGTTCCTGTGGTAAACAGCATTTGGCCAGCAAAAGCTGCTAATGGTGTTCTGGAGTATTGTAGACTCCTGCACCCTCTTTCAGTGTTATCCCTCATGTAAATTTCATGCAATAGTACAGAGATTTGATCTGGTTCCATAGAGAGCTCATTTAATTCCATAACCTCTCTAGGCTTCACATAGCTATCTCCTGTACTGTACTGACTCAGTGATGAATGATAAGGGTATAAGAGTTAAAAACAGTTGGTCATTTATTATGCCAGGAAACAAATGAGTATAAAGATCATTAAATTAAAAGTAAAAAGCTTAACACAATATTTCCAAGTATCTCCATCCCACTCTGTTTCTGTTGTTTCCCTGCATCCGTTTGAGATTGTAATGTGGAAGCCCATGTTACAGGGAGCTGTTATATCTGTTCTTTGTAAAATACCATGTGCATAGGAACAGAATTAAGAAAATACACCAGTAAATATAGACCAGCATATGCAGTTACTTTGATGTATTTGTTCTGTGCAAGCGTAGGTTGCTTTGTATATTTCAGAGACAACAGTTCTTTGTGCACATTTGCAGAATCAGTGAATGAGAAATAGATTTGCAGGCTTGAAAGATTTTGTTTGTGTTGATAAAACGTCCTAGTATGAACAACAGTCTTCCACATATGTATTCAGAAATATGTCTCACCAAGTTCACTGAGATAAAGTGTAAATAGGTCATCTGAATTGTGAATTGTAAGGAACATTTTTACAATTTACCAAGGAACATTCAACAGCTAATAATGGAAAGGCAGATAAAGTTCAGCCATCAAAACAAGATTATGGATGGCTGATGGATTGGTTGTATAAAACATGAAACTTATGCAGCGTTTCAAGAATAACTATACATTAAATGTAAGTGAACATGCAGTTTGCATGATGCCAGTGCCAAATTCCAGTTTAATCTAACAAGTTTTAACAGCTGTAATATCTACATGAATCATCTAACACACCACAGACTTCACTTTAATATAAACAAACAGAAAATCCTCCAGCATCAACAAGGTGTTGGAAGAAATGGAACAAGTCTGTAGCAGATAAGGGTTCAGAATCAAATATGTGTAGGATTTCATTAGAGGCATTTTATTACTTTCAGAGATGGCTGTTTTATTTGAGCATTAGTGTGACAGGAGTTTGATGGAGGTAGTCCATAGACGAGGGTGCATTTTATCTCCTTATCTGTTAAATCTGTGCATAGAACATATATGGAAAGTTGGACTAGATTCAGATGAAGGAGGAGTGAAAATTGATGGAAGAAATATCAGTAATTTTAGATATGCAAATGACACCATCTTACTGGCAGAAAGTAGCAATGACTTGAAATACCTTTTGGTGAAAATGGAAGAAGAAAATGCCAAAGCAAGAGTGTAGCTGATCATTAAAAAAACCAAAATCATGACTACAAAAAACCTAAACAACTTTAACATTGACAATGAGGAATGCACGAAGGGGAGGGGCTGCTTGTGCAGCGTGTGTGCACACTCGCGCGAAGGGCTGGGGGCGCTTGCACATGCAGAAGATCTGTGTCTGCGGTCCAGCCAAGGGTTGGGGACCCCTGGTCTATAGTATAAAGCTTTTGTTTGTATTTGAAAGATGTTTCAATTTAGGGATATAAGAGTCTCCTCAGGCCCCGCCTCCGCCCTTAATATCCAGAATTCTATTTTTGATTGTATGGAATACTTGAAATAGGAGTATTGAACCCAGCAGATCTGGTGACAACCCCAGGGTCTTGATTTTCTTGATAAATAGGGCCAAATCTTTTGGAAATACATTGTCAGAAAGCAGCGCTTGGAATAGGATATCCTGGGCTCAGAAGAAACATGTTCTGACCCAGTATTTAAAGAATGTAGGGCAAACCAGGGCCTCAATCCTGTGTTGGCCGCCTTCAAACCATAGGGTTGCATAGGAGACACAGTGGGACAGGCCAAAGATTTTTTACAGGAACATTGATTGAACCTTTTCCACGGAACTGTGGAATGCAGATATCCAAATGGGGACACCATAAAGAAGCTGTGCTGCAGATTTGGCATTAAAAATCTGCAGCGCAGCAGGGATGTATGAGTGGCCCCAAGTACGATGGAAGCATAAGATAGCCTATGCTGAAAGCTTTGCTAACTTAATTGCTGTCTGCCGGTGATTTGACCAAATGTGCCTATAAATGAAAAAAGACATCCAAATACTTAAACGCTCTGAATTTTAAAACTCATTTAAAATTTAGCGCAAGAGAATATTCTTATAGTAGCCTTACAGCCATTGCAAATGTGAATTGTGCTCTACTGAATTCATTGGTAATTTCTCAGGGTGGCAGCCTTATAACAATTTATATTTTAAGTAGAGCCTACATTGGACAAATCCCATGTTAAGGCAAAATCTTGTTTCTTCCTCTTTACAGCATCCCTTCAGGTGATGTAGATCTTTCAGTGCTACTTCCCTGAGACATCAGACATGCAAACTAAATGTTTTTTCCCAGTTGACCAGTTACAAAGCAAAAGCAAGCAAATTTGCCAAGTGCAAATTGAAGCAAGCTCATGTTAGAATAAACAGTCTTTTGGTGCACTACTTAAGGGTATGCTTCTTCTAGATATGGAATCAGATTTTCTTCTGGTGAGGTCTTGTGTAGTAAAGTTGCAAGTGAAGCATAAACAATTTTGGAAGTGAAAAATAACTAGTGGAAAGCTATTATAGTAATTTAGAAAAATATTGATTGTTAAATTAAATTTTTAGTTGGTTTTGAAGTATATTTAATTAGAAAAAACAATTTTAGCATCTGCCTCAGGTAGGTTTTAATTGCCATCATCAATTTTCTTGCTGTTGCAGGTTTCAGACAGCCTCATAATGGAATACTTTGAAAAATACAAGCATAGAATGAATGAGCTGGAAGCTTTTAATATGGTAAAAATCACAGTATTGCAGAAGTTGTTTTATGTGTTTATGCTAGGCCACAGTTGGCTTGTGTTAAACTTTTATAATGGGGTGGATCAGTTTATGTTATGATATGCTCTCCGTAGAAAGGGGGGGAAAACAACAGTCCATAACAGGGAGCATGTTCTTTTCCAAAATTATATTAGGTGTTGGTAGAATAATAACGATAACATATGGTGATTCTTTTTTAAGTACAATAAACATTTTTTAAAAGTCGGTCTCTTTTTGAACCCACATCAGTCTCTGCATTCTTTTTAATATATTTCATTGTTGGTTCTCCTTTTAACAAGATTCCTGCCACTTGCAATGTGTTTAGTGTGCTGAGTTATACCTCAGAACTACAAAGTCAGTCGACGCCATGCCTAATGCATTCAACAGACTTTGATGTTTATTGCACTGATACTCTGAAGAAGTCCAGCAGAAGTAGAGTAACAGTAGTTAAAATGGATTTTGTTGAGAGAAAATTATCTTATTTCCTAATAATTTTTTGGAGAAGAGTTAAAGATTTTCTGTTAGCAGAGAAGCAGTGTTGAGAGCCATTTTGGAATATTCTCATGAGACAAAGGATTGTAGCTAATGAGATGTTTATTAGTAACATAATTTACATTTTTATGAGCATAGTGGATGGATAGTAATTGATGATGGACAAATCCTGTCTTATTAGATTTTGCTTCTTGCTGATTGGAGTAAAAAGCTACCAGACGTAACTCACCATAACAGAACACCCCTCTCTGTGAAATAAGAGGGTTCGTTTATAAAAACTAAGCTAATTTGGGGTATAGTAGTTAGGGTAGTGTGGCAGCTACACTGGGTTTCAGATTGTCATGCTGTCATGAATCTTAGTCGGTGAACTTGGGCCAGACATAACCTCTCAGCCTGACCTACTCCACAGGGTTATTGTGGGAAAAGGAGAAGTATGGGCTTCATTTAAGCTTTTTGGAGGAAAGGTGGGATATAAATACAAATTTATAACAAATAATGGGAACAATATTTTCTGTATTTTATTTATTTATTTACAATATTTTTTAGCCGCACCATTACCAGTGGCTTCTGGGCGGCATACAACATTAAAACTTAAAAACATTTTAAAAGACAATATAAAATACCATATATTAAAGTAATTCTTAAAACATTAAAATTAATAAGTCCTGCTGCTCATGTGGCCAGCTAGGGAATACTGTTTAATTAAAATTCTGGCTAAACAGAAAGGTCTTTGCCTGGCACCGAAAAGCCAAGAGTGTTGGAGCCAGGCAGATCTCTATAGGGAGGGCATTCCAAAGTTGGGGGGCAACAGCCGAGAAGGCCCTATTTCGACATGCCATCCCCCTCACCTCTTTCAGGGATGGCACCTTCAGAAGGGCCTCCTGGCCTGATCTTAGAGGATGGGCAGGCTCATATGGAAGAAGGCGGTCCTTTAGGTAACCAGGTCCTAAGCCATTTAGGGCTTTATATGTCAAAGTAAGCACTTTGAATTGGGCCCGAGCAGCAACCGGCAGCCAGTGCAAATTTTTCAGAACCGGCGTGATATGAGTCCGTGCGGTGGCACCACTTACCAGCCGTGCAGCCTGATTCTGTGCCAGTTGCAGTTGTTGGACCGTCTTCAAAGGCTGCCCCACGTATAGTGCATTGCAGTAGTCCAGTCTGGTTGTTACCAGTGCATGAGTGACTGCTGCCAGGCTCCGCTCATCCAGGTAAGGGCAAAGTTGATATATTCTCC